TGTTTATCCTAATGGTAGGTAGCTTGGCTGTCGTTCGGTTCAACACCACGTCTATAACCCAAGTGCGTTCTTAGGTGGTTCGCCTCACCCCAAGTCCTCGAGGCCTAGGTTACCGGTTTCCATTGGTGAATGGCAGGTCTACACGAAGATTGAATTTATCCGGTCTACTTTTTATCACTCGATATATATACGTGAGTAATATAATATGTAATATACATAATTTAATCCGAATCGTTGTCTACTGAGGTTTTGTCCCGTTAAAACTGGTGTGCTACAGTCGGCGTCACTAAGTTGCACTTCTATAAGGCATTCACATATGTGAATACTGTTACATATATGTTGTGCTGCGTGTGGGGAAATACCATGTTCACGCCGACCACTGCGTATCAAAAGGCCACGCACTGAGAGGAAGTGACATGACAAAAGCCAGGATGTCGCACGAGTTCGATTAACATGTGCCGCACATTCTCTTGCGGTCCTCCTTCTCCATAAACTGCAAACATTTAACTAAAGCAGATTCGTTTGAGCATTTAAGATGGACAACTCCTATTTACAACGAATTTAAGTAATAGAGAGACCTAGCTTTTCTTGTAAAATATTTTTGCACAGTTTCATGTGAAAAAATAACAAATAGTTTCACTTTTTAAATGCGATGAAAATGTTTGTGATAACTAAAAAAGCAATGGACAGCAATTTCGTCCTGTTTGGGACTTGTCAGTAGTGCGTACTTTTTGTGTCCCTGTCCGGACTCGAACCACGATCAGTCAGGTAGGGTCGGGACTTCAAAACGAATACAACTCACTAATACAGTCACATCAACCATATACTGTGATCCCCGCATAGTAATCATCCATTCTACTTCAACACGCCGCTTTGGACGAAGAAAAACACGCGATGGAGTTGATAAAAAATGCATCACGCCGAACAAAAGACTACTCCATTCATCATCGCACTTTGCTCACTTCAATACCATGTCTGTGTGTTACCTGCTTCTTTGGGGAACTGGTGCGGACAAACGATATCAGTTGCCAGTCTACGCTCGAACGAGGAGATAGACAAACGGATCAGATCACAGATACCAACACTAACGAGCAAACCGTGGACCAATACACCATTGCACCATTGTGGATTAATCAACAATTGACCCGGGAGAATGAGTGACCAAAACGAAGCATTTATTTGACCGCGGTAGTTAATCTGTGTGTGCATGTGACCATTTTCACACCATGGAACAATTTTGTGTACAACTAGAAAAATGACCTGCAGAAGCATTGATTTTTCGAATCGACACGAAAGAGTATGGGAGATTTTGGTTCTAGCACAGGCACCGCTTCTCTGTCTACGACGGGGATTGCACAATGCAAAGAAAGTTGAAATCAATTAATTTAATTCGTCAATTAATCAATTCTCAAGCAGTTCTTGTCTTCGGAGGTGTACATTTATAAAAGCCCCTTGAGAAAAACGTGGTCACTTGAGTTGCTTATTTGTAGCGTAAGTTTCTATCAAAAATATCTTCTCTTAGGGTACAATCAAGCATATTTCATGTCATCCGCGACTACATATCCCGGGGAGATTTTTTTACCTGTACATCGATCAGTGAAGTCGTATCAGCTCTTGCCCTGGTTGAGTTATGGTAACGTAAAATTGGTAATTGACCTTATGTAGTTAGTGATCGAGAGCTGAACATGTGATTATTCGCAGGGAAAATCGTCAGCTCCCAAGTTTGTATGATAGATGGTGATGGTCCGCGCGTCTACTTGTTGTTACTCTCAGTTCTCAAGTACCGTCTGATCGGCAATTCCCACATCGAACATGCACAAGTTTTAGGTTTAATTCACACCACGAACTTTCCACCCCACTCATATGTTATGACCATCATTGATGGATTGTCTATGGAGATAACATGTGAATTACTACGGTTCAAGACAGATTATGCTTCAACCGGGAATTTCGTTCAGTCCGGTACCAGGTTCCCTAATCAGTATGAGTAGCCAATTGAATTTCCAGTGAATAGTGGAGGATTTTTATTCAAATTCAAAGAAGAAACGTGAACTGGAAAGCTAGGAAGCACTGGATAGTAGCTGTTTCGATCTGGTAGGGTCACATCAGCAGTAATGCGAATCCGTCGACCTAACTGGGGATCAAATCCGGAACCTCATGGGCAGAACGCAAGCACGCTATCCATTCGGCCACCCCGGAGCAGTTGATCAGATTGTTTCTTTTTCATTTTCCATTTACACGATAAACAGCACAACCCAGTGGGATCGATGAATTCGCACTGCTGATGAGACCCAACCAGGTCGAAACAGCTGTTCAGTGCTTTCTAGCTTTCAGTTTACGTTTTATTTGTTATTTGCACGACGAATTCCCATTTGAAATTCGGAAACTCAATATGAATGCCGTTATGATTCAGTTCGTTCTGGTTGCATTCGTAGAATAGTTTGCTCGTGGTATCTAGTGATCAAAGGAGGCATACCTGCAATAGATCAGGCACATTGGAGCCGTTACGCTTCCGATATCTATATTTCACAAAGATTAAAATTAACCACGTTCCAACAAACTAGTCGTGAAACGTCAAGTTAGGATCACATAACATATCATAGGATCGCAATCTTCCTACCTCTCACTTTCCGTCCCGATCTTAACCGGAATCGACACATACCCGTGTGGTGTCAGTTTAGTGGAGCAGGACGAGCTAATATCACTTAGTCAGCACCTCCGCGGAGTGGCTCGACATTTCCTGGGCCAAAACGATGAAAAACATGTCCGGATAACGATGATGATAAAGTTTCGGCTCGTTATCTGCTTTTGGGTGAACGGTGATGAGTGGACGAGTGAGTGGACGAGATAGAAGCTGAAAGTTGGACAGTGGACAGTGAGTGCTACTGTGCTTTGGTTTCGAGGGCCAGCTAAAAATCGTCTACCACAATAGCCGGGTTGGTTTTCCGACTAACCCATGGGTGATCCTAGACCACGAATTCTGGGTCTGTCTTTCGAACTATCTGCACTGCTGTATGTCTGTACTCGTGTGTGCGAGTTGTGGTAGTGGTTTCATGTGTAGTGTGTGTGTGTGTGCTTACGACCGCGCGATGGGCATCACTGTTCCTGCCGTCGCCTCATCGGCCCAGGCTTTTGTGGGACTTGCTGTTCCGATCACCGGACATTAGGCACTCGGTCCCGTGACTTATACCGGCGTGTTTCTCCCTCCTGCTCAGGGCATACATGGTCATCGCTACAACAACCACCACCACCGCTGTAGCTGTATGAATGCACAACGGACAGGAAATGTGTGTGTGTGTGTGTGTGTTTGTATCCCATTCCCAACCTGCTTGTTTGACCGGCTGGTCTAATAATTGCTGTTTAGTAGACGGTTGGTTCGTTGGTTTGGCATCTGGTCGTGCATAGGTTCGCCTGTGCCTGGAGGCCTGGTGCGAGCATACAATAGACAGCCAGCCAGCAAGCAAGCAAGCTAGCCAGCAAGCCAACTACAGGGGTGTTCATGTGCGTGCATACACGCTCGCGCGGGTTGATCTGTGAACACCCGAGTGCGTGCATGTGCCCGTGCGGCCATGCCTATGGGTCACAGAAGTAGTTGGCTAGCGTATTCTCTTCTTCAGCCAAGATTTGCTTACCGTTACGTGCACACGAGAACGTAAAAGTCGTCTGTCTATTTGCGTGTCCGTGCATGTGTGTGAGTGCGTGCGTGTGCGTCCGTGCGTCCATGCGTGCGTGCAAGCACACGCACATGTGTCTGCGTGTGTAACTGTTTAGCAGATGCTTTCTCGGCCTGTCGCTTGTTCAATATCCATCATCAACATCATCATTATCACCATCGCCGTCATCATCAAAAGCACCATAGTCGTCGTCATCACGCTATCACGGTCACCGGTATCGCGATCGGTATTGGTGCTGAGCCTAAACAACCTGGTTCAGGCCAGGGTTCGGT